GAGCAGGCCTACGACACGGAAGGAAGGGTTTCAGCAGCCGAGGTGCTGAAATGACTCGGGTGTTCACAGACGGGGGAGTTGTGCTGGACTCCAGCATGACTGTGCCCCGCTGTGCCCAGGACGTGGGACTCGAGTGCTAAGACTGGGCAAGTTCCAGGCAGACTCGGGTGAGCTGGCCACACTGCCTGGCGCTGGGTTTGTGGAGTGTAGGGGTGAGCCTGCCGGGAGTTAGCAAGAACGGGACCACGGTGTCCCCAGCTCCTCTCCCTCCCTCGCCCCAGGCAGTTACCGTGACACTGCCCCTCTCCCCCCTCAGATTCGGTGAGCCTTGCCTACCAGCGGGTCCAGAAAGTAGACTGTACCTCCCTGAGGCCCGTCCTGATCCTGGGGCCATTACTGGACGTGGTGAAGGAAATGCTGGTGAACAAGGAGCCCAGCAAGTTCTGCAGATGCCCCCTGGGTAAGGGCCCCCCATGCTCGTCCCCGTGCCCTTTCCCTCAATCTCCTGGGCCGGATCCCAGTGTTTCCAAGCCCTTCTGACCGGGGCTAGATGGGGAGTAGCTTGCGGCTTTCTCTGGAGAGAGGACGGCAGGACTGGGTGCTAGGGCCCCTCTGCAGAGTTCCCCGCAGGGCGCTCCGCGGTGCCGCCTCCTGAGCCTGTGTCTGCTTACAGAGGTGATGAAGGCCTCCCAGCAGGCCATTGAGCGAGGCGTCAAAGACTGCCTGTTTGTCGACTACAAGCGCAGGAGCGGCCATTTCGACGTGACCACGGTGGCTTCCATAAAGGAGATCACAGAAAAGGTACCTGCTGCTTCAGACCGAGGGTTTGCACCTGTTGGAGCCTTTGGTGCTGCCCCGTGCAGCCCCAGACCTTTGGTGAGCTCACCCATGCCCTTCAGTCCGGATGAGTCTGCTTGGGGCTGACCCATGGCTGCTCTGTGCTTCCACTTTCATGAAGAGGAAGCCGGTCAGGGAGAGGGGTGCAGGGGTCACCCTGTGTAGGGGGTGTAGGGGAGGGTGCAGGGGTCACCCTGTGTAGGGGGAGTGGGGGAGGGTGCAGGAGTCACCCTGTGCATGGGGTGTAGGGGAAGGTGCAGGAGTCACTCTGTGCAT